AAATTTTTTGTTAAAAGTTGGCTGTTTCGACGGTGGGACGGTCGGATTTTGTCAATACCAATAAAATGCCAAATAATCATACTTAACTCGTTAAATACTGAAGTTAGAAGAGAAATGCGTAGAAACATTCTTTGTAGAGGATGTAAAATAGCTATAACTTTCGTATAAAAATTTTTTCGCTATCGTCAATAATTACTTAATAAATAAAATTGTTTATGGCAAAAACTTTTTCTTCGCCCAAGTGAAAAATGTTTCAGATAAAAGTTATAGCTCCAGTTGCTAGATACAGAATAGAAAAGAAAACTGCACGTCACACGTATTTCAGTTGGATTACGTGCAGTCCTATTATACATATGTAATATACGCGTATTGTACTACCGATAATGCCAAGAAATTGTCAAGTGCAAAAATCAGTTCGATTTAAAGTGAAGCTCTACGATTCATTCTATTATTTATCCGGCCTCTCTTTATGCCGTCGGTTGACAGTCGTACGGCACAATAGAGTGCACGATCACTTTCATTTTCAATAAATATTCCGCCGTTCATATTCTACAGCTCGGAAATCCTGGAATGATTGTTCGAGCAATTTAAAATGACGATGTGGGACCAGTTGAGGCGAGGAGGCGCGTATTTTCGCGTAGCCGTGCACCAGATTTAACGTTCCACGAATCGGAAGGAGATGAAAGGCACCCAGAGAGAGCTAGATCGGGGGATGAAGAGAGGATGAGAGTGGAATCATGGTTTTTGGACGATAGAATCGATTGAACCGGCCTCGGCTCTTGCAAGTCACTGGTAAACACAAAGTGTAACTCCGTCTCTCTTTACCCGCGTAGCGCAATATACAGAGCGAGGAAGAGAGACGGGTGTAGAGAACGAGAGAGAGAGGAAGAGAGTACGAGTCCAAAATTAAAGACGCGTGTATAAACAACGAAGAACCCCCTGTGTCGGGGAAGATCGAGAGGATATTGCTTGGTTCTTCCGTGTTTACCGCGAATCGCTAATCAGAACCGCCGTGTATCTCGCGATGCGTTTTAATTAAAACGTGTCGTGCGTTTTCATTAAAACCGTGACGCGTACGAGACATGCTTTATGCGAGGAATAAAAAAAAAAGAGAGAGAGAGAGAGAGAGAGGAGGAACGTACGGTCTACTCGAAAACGTGACTCGAATTCTTCCTTTTACGTTCCAGCGCTCTGTAATCATAGAAGATAATGCGACGGAATATGAGAATAGTGTCAGAATTTTCTGTCAGAGGAATAAGTACTCGTCACAATCGAAAAGGTTTAATCGTTGAAGAAAATTGTGCTCCGTTAGGTTCGAATAGCTGAATCGTTCGCCTGTTGATAAATGATTCTTAAACTCGGATGGATTGTGGCGCGAATAATAATGGGATGATATTCATTCGCGACGATGTACCTACCATCGGGATCGTCCGTGTTTCAATAAGTAAGCACACTTTTTGACAAATGATATTTAAACTAGCTGCGCCGGGCCGGTTGCCAGGATCCGAAGTAACGCGGCAAAATGCGATTTTCGAATAAATTCACCGCACTCTATTCGTCATCCCACCCTTAATCCGAATCTATTATCTCGATCGAGAACGCGCGTCCTGCCAATCCGTACGGATTTGAAACGATACCGGGCAGAAGGATACCGGGGCGGATGGAATCCCAAAGGAGGTACGGGAAGGTATCTGGCTGCTGCGGGTGACGTTAAAGCACGAGTCCTCGTTTACATGAAAAGAATGTAAATCGTTTTCGTTTGGGACAAAGGCAATTTAGGGTCGTACATAACTCCGTTCTCCGTCCGTCTCTCGTATCTCTCGCGTTTTAAAAGTAGACAGGGCTTCCGCTTTAAATCGCGCGGACCGTTTCGCAATCGGTCGTTGCGATCGACGAATTGCGGTTGCGCCACCCCCCGGTTTCCCAAATGGGGATGACCCGACACCCTCTCCCGTCCGCCGCCAACCATTACGGATTGTTCCGACCCCGGGTGAACGGAGATCGCACAAGGTGAATTAGAATAAGTTAAAAAAGTGTGTATCTCACTATCTGTCTCTCTCTCTCTCTCTCTCTCTCTTCGTTCCAGTTTTATATCTTCGCTTTATACGAGGTCAATATCGTGTATATACATATCCAAATCTAACCCATAATATCAGCGATACAATAACCTAGTATAATAAAATGAAATGAAATAAAAGTCGTCTATTAAAAGATGAAAAAATATTCTCGTTCCAATCGGATTGATTAAAACGCGCACGTAGTAACCATGCGATTCCAGTTTCAATCTCGTACAAAGTAACCCGTTAAAGGATTAAAAAACGATCTGCACTCTTTCAATCGGTAGCCGTCCCAATTCTTTTTTCCGTTTCCCTGCCGTTCCTTTTTAACTCGAAGGAGAATTCCCATCGCAAAGTTGGAAAACAATCGGTCTATCTCGGATCGAATGGCCTCGCCCAATCGATCCGAACAATAAGCAATGTAGATAATAGCCCCCACGGCTTATCAGCCACCCACTCATGGAACCGGCAGAGGCGCGGGGGGGGTGGGTACGGAGAGTACCGGCGGGATGATAGAAAGTATTTCGCGCGAAAAACTCTTCAACCGGGAGAGAAGTTTTTCGCGATACCGCGCGAGAGAAGAAGAAGCGGCGCGAGTATCAGATTTCCCGGGAAACTACGAGTTTTCCCATCGCTTTTAAAGCTTCCCCCGGTGCTTATACGTTTCCGAGTAGCGGCAGCGGCGGTAGAACAGTTTCAGCTCAGTTTTAAAACTTATCTAACGGATACGGATGATACAAATACGGGACACAAATTGAATGCTCGACCACTTCTCCTTAACTGCGAATCGAAAACTGCGGATGATCGCTGGACCGCAAAGCCAGTGGCTGAACGTTCACAGTTTTTACTGATTTAATATTTAAGTCGAGCGGCAGGTAATTTGTTTAGAGGCAGTTGCGTCGAGCGAAGGGGGCAGGTTTTATTGCTCGGAAACGATTTTAAAACGATAGGAACTTTTGAGAATTCGTACGACCCATATAGACATTTCCAAACGGTCTGCGATATTCGGGGGAAACGGCTCCGCGGTTTTCCGATCGATCGAATCGATTTCCTCACGGAAATTCGTTTCTAACCGCCCGACGGTTCCGTACGTCACGCTACTTCTCTGTGCGTTACTCGACGAGATGAAAGAAAGAAATGGACACGGTGACACCTGGTGTCCCTTCTTCTTCATCTTCTTCGGACCGACATTTAACTCAAATAAGAACGAGAAAGGTACGAGCCCCCTGGTCGACTTTCAACCGTGAAAACGGCTACAATGACCGCAGAAACGTTTCGAATATGCACCCGATGGCCGGCTCACAATGGGAACGAGGAAAATGGAAAAAGGGACACTGATTTCTCCCGCAATTTTTGTTATTCCGGCGGAGCCCGGTGCGAGGAATCGACCAAGCGATGGTCAAAAGGTCCTGTTAGGCGTGCGTTTGGGTTTGTCGATGCGCCAGGTGCAACCTTCGAAACCTTTTTCTCTGGATATACGTCTACCTGAGTTCTGAAAGGAAGTCCATTGTTTGCTGCTTGTCCACGATGATTACGATCCTGTCGATCTCCTCCGTCCTCGAATCTTCCCCCAGGACCAATCATCTCCTCATTTTGTCAAGGAAACAAACTGGTTTCACGAAGAAACTCGATGCGAAATTCTAATGCGAAGTGAATTTCAAATTTTCGTTCAACCTTAACGTTGTTAAAAGATCCGAGAATAATGGAAATTGATTTCTACGAAGAAAAGAATTGCGAATTAATACCGATTGATTAATTGCTCGATTCATTTAATTGCGCTATTGAATAATATCAGAAGCAGAGCAGTGATTTAAAGAACAATACTGCTTCGAATGTCACAATTTATATTCACGACATTTATCTCAACAATCTAGATTTATTTTCCTTCAATAAAATTGTAAATCGTGAGACATAAAAAACGGATTTAACGAAATTTTATGTTCGACGTTAGAGTTATAATTATTAAATGATCGTAAAAGGAGAGTCGATCGTAATTATAACCGTCGAATGTATCGAAATTGTAATTCTTCACTAACAATGCAAAATTAATCATTGTTAACGAGATATCGAAACGGTAATAAATATCGTACGTAATTGGATAAAATTCAAGGGATGGTACTCAAATGATGGAAGAACGAAATAAAAGTGGAAGCTGAAATATAAATTGCTCATAATACTTTTCCGACCTTAGATATCAGAGTTAATTATTAACCGCGGGAAATGCGATTTACTTAATTTTCAGTTGCTAATAAAAGCAATTTCATGATCTAACACTATCGATAATGTCTGTGTACGTGAATTTTCCAGTACTAGATACTGCAGTTGGCTAACTAACCAGTCACTGGGAATGCAGTTCTCTGAGTTGTCCGTCGATGGAACAATCGATTCTCCGATGGTGGATATATTTAAAAAAAGGAAGGAATAATAATCGTGAAGAATTTACTTTTCATTCCACATTAACGGTAATGGAGTATAAAAAAAGAAATAATAATGAAATACGAGAAGCGACTGCACTACTCAATTAAAAATATTATAAAATTAAAAAACGTCGAGAAGTAACACGTCTGAATTTTTATTTAACTTTTATTAAAGGAGATGAAGATAAACATTCTTTGCAGTACTTTCTAGGTTTTACGATATTAAAGTGGGAATGAAAATTATAATATATAAAAAGAAAGATATTTGTGACTGACGAAAGGTAGATTCGTTAAATGGAATTATTATGGAATCATCTTTCTCGACATGGACTTGCTGCGACAATCCGTCGTCGTAAAATTAACAATGGTAAAACATTCGGAGCAATTGGAACATTTAATCAAAAGGAATAGGATAGTCGTGAGAGAAGACTTTTAATTCCTATTTAATCCCGTCGGTGCCTAAAGAACGGTGAGCTATTCCATCGGTAAATTATGGATCCAGATCTATGCAGAGTTAATGAGCACAAATTACGATTGTAATATTAACGAGGATGAAAAAGGAGACGAGGAACGATGGAACGAGCGGTTTGAAGTATATTTCGCTGGATCCCGTCATCGGTACAAGATGATTACCAACTGCGACTATCGTTCGGCGAAAAAAAGAAACACGGGTATCGTTGTACTCGAAACTATTCTATCCCACGCACGATCCATACAAGGCCTCGCACAGGGATGAGAGCCATGGGGGTTGAGATCCGGAAACCGGAGTGAGTGAGCGAGCGAGAGCGAGAGAGAGAGACGAGGACAGAGGTTTCTCCGAGGTACAACAGGGTGTATGGGCAGAATATTGATCTGTGGGGTGGGCTTCCACCCTTCTACCCGGGAAACCCGAACAACCCCCTCGCCCCCGTTCGCGGAGAAGGGGCCAGGAGTTGCGTGGTAGGGTCCAGGCTCGCAGCTTCCCGCGAAAATCACCCCTCCTTCGGTTCGCTTTCTGGGGGTTGCTTTCTCCTTCGACGGAGAAGGGGTAGCGACGGGGTGGCAAGTTCGTTCGACTCGCGCGTACGTATACATATGTACACCGCGTACGGCGTACGCGTATCGTCCTCCGTCGGTGCCTGAACCAGCCCTGTACGGCTGTAGAGAATTTTCGGGTACCAGACCCGGGATGGCCGGTTGGTCTCGCCTCCTTTCTCTCCTTCGATATCGCCTTTCTCGACCCCCGTGTGTACGACGCGTACTCTCTCTTCGAGCGTCCCTAAACTACCCTGTTGCCCCCTACGTCTATCTATATTCCGCGCACGCTCTCCTCTCTCTCCTCTGTCCTCTATCGTTCCTCGCCTTTTTCTCAGTCAGTCGGTTCGTCGCCGGGTCCTCGGCCTGTTTGCGGATTATTATCATCGCCACCGGTTCGCCGCGCAACCGAACGGTAACGGAAACGAGAACCGCGGTCGACCGCGTGTGATAAGTGTCGCCAGCTAAATGGTACGTTTCGTCCTTGATCGGTCGGACAGTTGACGCGGTGGCCGCGGCCGTTCGACAAAAGCGTTCGTCTTGTTACCGTGATTAGTAGCAGAGCGGCGAGAACGGTGTTGTGACAAGTGTTCGTCTAACAACTGTTCGCTTATCGGTCGTTCACGAGGCCCGATACCGGTTCAAATAATCGGCAGTCGCGTTGAACGCAAGTTACGATTAGACGAGGAAACTCTCCGTCTCTGGAGTAAAGATCAGTGAGATAGGAACAGTTTTAGACGAGTTTCATTGGCTGAGAAACGACATTCGTTCGGAGAACGTTGACTTTCGTTTAAAATCGAATTTCACTTTTTAAAAGGGTAATCCGTGTAAACGACAAATAAAAATGGCCGAGAGGGTGTCGTGGGGGAACGAAGGAAGGTCCTTGACCCTTCGAGGACGAATCTAATGTTCCCGGGGTTAGGAATCCCTGTAAAGGTTGTTAAACTCCAATCTTCTATCGTAAACCTGTTACTTACGGTAAAATTGTCTCAATATCGGTTCTAGGGTATCGTCGCGATTCTCGTAGATTCTGCGAACACGGTCCGACAACTGTTTCCGAAATAAAACCGCGCTTTCGACCGTTTCGTGACGATTTTAATATCGCGCCCGAGGCTGGAACAGCGGCGTAGGGGTTATTAAACTCGAATCTCGAACTTAACGGCTGAACACGTACGGACGAGCATTTTATGGTTTATGGCAATCTCGAAACCCTGGAGAACATTGCCAGCACCACCGTTTTAAAACCCCGTTGGGATCGAATTTGCAAAGAAACACGCTTCCGAGAGATAGTTAATCTCTCTGTAGAAGGATCGCTAGAAAAATTGGATTTCAACTTTTATTAAGATTCGAAGAAGCGTTTGATGCTTTAAAGATTAAGGCAAGCCGAGAATATGAAGAATCCTCGTACCGTTAATATACGTATAAGTTTGCCCGATTGAGGAATGCGATTTACGAAAGTAAAGGATAAAAAGAAAAGATAGTCAGGGAAGAGAAACGAAATAAAGAAGGGGTAAAGAAGGAGAGAGAGTTGAAGAAGAGAACGAAAATATTGTGAATTGAAAGGAGAAGAGGAGGAGGTAAGGTAACGAAATTAAAGAACGAGAAAATTGAATAGACGCACTGGTGGTGAACCAGAGGGAAGGAGGAGGAGAGAGGAAAGGGAAGGAAGTGCGAGTTTTTCGAGGAAGGCGGAAGAAGAAGGCAAACGCGGAGGAAAAGACAGCGAGGAGGAAATCGACGAAAAATCAAGGTGGAAGGTGGAAAAGGAAAAAAGCGGAAGGGCTCGGAGAGTCGCGAAAGGCGAAAGGGAAGCGGGTAGTAAGAGGAGAAGGGAAGGCACGCTTGGGCGAGTTGCCTGGATACGGGCGGCAGCCGGAGCACCGTGTTGCGCTCCCGGTATAAAATAGGGGTGGCAAGGAAGGAGAGTGGAGGGTGGTAACAAGAAGTAGGGGCGGGGGGTGATGGAGAAGGGGCGCAGCCACGTAGAACCGTGGGGAAACGAAGAGGAAGAAGACGAGGCACGAGGCGAACGAGCCACGAAGCTCGTGCCAACGATCACGATAGCCTTCTCTCGTCGCTGCCCCTTTAGTTAAACGATACACCGCGCGCGTATGATAATCGCACCGCGCCGCTCCAGCTTCCACCATTCGAGGTTCGGCTGCCTATGATCTGTCGCACCCGGGAGTGTCCGCGCGCGATTCGTAGGATTCGGTTATGATAATAATCGCGGCGCGAGTGTTGTCACGATTCGAGGGTACGATCGCGCGCTGTCGCGATAATCCTGGTGGAACGGCTTCAGAGATTTTTGGTAACGATCTTCGCCGCCTCGTCGTCGTCGGTATCCCTGCGGCCATCCGGTCTCGGCTATGATAATCGGCGACGGAAACGACGTTTCGAGAATCGAACATTTCCCGGTATGATAATCGGAAGTGTTTCGCGGTAATCGTTCTCGGGAAGTGTCTCGGAGAGCGCGAGCCTCGCAAGCTCCCGGGGTGTCCCTGCCAGTGTCTACAATGCGATAGTCGTCTCGGAAACGTTTCGAAAATTCGCGTCTCCGAGCTCCGGGTATGGTAATCGTCTCGAGGATACGAACGCGATTACTGGACGCGAAGACGCGTTTTAACATCCAGATATGATACTCGTTCTACGAGCGTCCAAACGAATTTCCGACACGGCAACGTACCACGGTTGTCGCAACGGTGGTTGCGTTTCCAAACTTCGAGTATGATGATCGTGCAACAAGCGTTTCTACGAATTTTAAATATGATATTTGTACGATAATCGCCGTAGAAGACCCGATTTTCAGCTTAGGATACGATAGCGTACGATGATCGCTTAAGAAGCTCAAGATATCAAACTTTGCGACACGATAATCGCGCTAGAAGAAGTTCAGACGTTTTAAGGCGTAGCAACGCGTGATAATCATCCTAGGACGCAGCTCTTGATTAAACTCTGGCCACGATCGGTCCGAGAACCTTTAAACGAGTCAACGTTTTCATCGAGCTTCGGACATGACAACTGCGAATGACGAGTCTGTACGATAACGAACCGGCGTCGAGAGTATCAGTGATTCTGGAAGCGGAACGTCGAGTATGATAATCGCGCTACAGGTAATTCAACGATCAACGATTTAGCATCTCAGTATGACACTCCGCTTAATGAATTCAGCGATTCGAACCTTGATAGCAATCTATAAAATATGACGGTCATACTGGAAACGTTCGCGTGATCTCCTTTTTTGAATATGATAATCGCGCTGTACGAGTTTCAACGATACGGGACTCGCGTATGATAATCGTGACGGAACCATTCGAAGAATTCTAACTCGAGACGCGACGTAAATAGATAATCGCGTCGGGCACGTCTCGGTAATCCACGAACTCGATTCACGGTTACACGCATAATAATCGATGTCGATAATCGCGTGGAAGTTCGTTGCACCAAGCTTTGACGTTTGAAAAGCTGAACCGGAAAGCTCGCCGGTGAAATGCTGATATTAACCCTCGAACTAAACGATCTTTAAACCTTTCGCTGTTCTTCCTCTGGTAGAGAAACGATTTCAAATTAATTACAGCGTTTCAAGTGTTTGCGAAGGGACAAAGTGTTTTTCATGGTACTCGGTAAATACTTCCTAGAGAGAATGGTGTACTCGTGACGGTGCGTATCGGTCCGAATTTCGGCTCGAGGATAGGCGAAAGAAGAAAAAGACGGAGAAACGCAAGAGAGAGAAAGAGAGAAAGAGAGAGAGAGAGAGACAGAAGACAGAGAGATAAAGATCGATCGAGGAATCGCGCGGATCAAAAGTGAAACTAGTTTTTCCTATCTGCTCGACGATGGGCCTCCTCCTCTCTTCCTGAACAACGCTACGTACAACTATCGTAGAACTATCTCGTACTGCAAATTGATAGATGACACCGATGCCGGATGGAAAAAAACATTCCAGGTACGTTCACAGAAGCGAGAAATTCGCTCTACAAACTTTTCACCCGCACGCATTCGTACACGGTCGTATACACGCGACGCGCGGTGACTCGCACTCCCGATTCTGTTTTTTTTTTTTTTTTTTTTTTTTTTATTCTCGCGGGATCGGTGCGGTGGCGGCAGGACGGCGGAGGGGTAGACAATGTGTTTTCCGTGTTTCCCACCGATTTTTCTACGCCCCTCCCCACCTGCTCATCGCCTCATCGTTTCCATCCGTGTTTTTCCTCGCCGGTGGCTCGTGTAAACGAATATTTTTTAAATCGCATTTTACCTATTGAAACATCCGAATCGAAAGCAAACATCATTTTCGCTTGATCAATATTCATTATGTCGAGTACAAATATAATTTATTTGCGCCGTTCTCCCGGTCCGGAGCTAAGGAGGTCTTTATCTGTCCACCGTTAACCTGAATCTATAAACTACGACAAATTTAGTTGGGGTACGTCCGTTGTTCGACGCTTGAACGAGTTTTGAACCGTACGGACGTCACACTTTTTTTTCAGAATTCAATATAAGAGTCGGCTCCAATATTTCTTGATAAAACAGCAACGATCTCTTTAAAATCTAGTCACGTCTCACCTTTGGGAATATATCCCTCTCCGCTTTATAGCGAAAACAGTGAAGTAAACCGAACCGGGATCGGCCTCTAAATCAGCAGAGGGAATCTTCGAGTTTTTCCTTAGCCAAACCTCGTAAAGGAAGCAGGAACCAGAAAAAGTTTAAATAAAATACCGCGGTGGAATCGGCGAGGAAAGAGGCAGCGCAATTTCTGGAAAAGCTTGGGCATTTGCATATCGTTTTACACGTGATCACGGGAAGTGAAAACATTTGGCAAAAGTAATTCTCGCTTTGTGGAAACGCGAGCACAATACTTACGACCAGATTGCACGAGAACGAAAAACGCTTTGATAAAACCGTGGAAATTAGACGCGGGATTGTTTCATATGCAAATTGTGCTTTAAAACGAATGTACAGTAGAATCACTGAATCAAAATTGTTCGACATTATAAATTGCATGGATGGCCACCATTTAACTGTAGCACTATGAATCATTCAAATATTGCAAATTTATAATTTCGCTTAGATATGGTCGTGGAAATATTGGCCATGAACATAGAAATCCATTCAAAGCCGTGAAACTCCTGGTTTTTCTTTATACTATTTAGACACAGAAATCATTCGCAAAATTACGGAAATTCGTCAATGGAATTATATGTATATCGCGATGATCGTACGGTATTTTATAAGATGAAGCAACTGTGACTCTTTGAGTATCCGGAGAACGACAAGGCGCGACGGTGTTTGACAAACTTGGTCTATCAGCTCTCGGATGTTAGGGGTGTGAAGACGTTGTACGTCGAAAAGGGTTTAAAACTTTAGAATGAAAAGTCGATTATCGTCGCGATGGTCTTAAGTTTGTAACGCGTATATTTCGGTTCAGTTTAACTGACGTTTAAAGTGTTCCTCAGTTTATTCCATCCGTTATTTTGTAACTCAACAATAGGAAATATATATTAACAATAAGCGATAATATGGGAAAATAATTGACCGGAGATCGTCGTTGCTTCTAATTTTCATTCATTGAAACCAGATCACGTTTACTCACGTCACGTGAAAACGTTTCGCACGACCGCCAGGACTCTTAATTAACATTGCTGCTTTAATTGTTTTCAGGTGCTTAGAATGAGAGAACCGCGCGGGAATTCGACACGGACCTACTAACTATCAAGTTGGTGTCTCGCGCGACGATCAGAAGCGAGAATCGATTCCGGTAATGACGGAAAAATCGGGCGGACGTCTTCCACTTCCCACCTACTATTTTAACGATTTGCGTTCCGAGCGATCAAAAATGATCGAGTCACGATGATCGTAATCAGTGAAATAATTCGTGAAGAGTTTCCGGGCGACGTACGAGACGGTGATCGCAGCCAGAAGTCGAAAAACACGAAAGGAAACACGGGAGATTGAGGCTTTTTCTATCAGGTGGAAATTACTTCCGTAAAGGATTTACATTTATTAGCATTTATTAGTTCTCTAGTCGATTTATTCTTTTCGGGTCGCCTTGTTTCGCCGAGACGTGAAATATCGATGAAAGTTGTCGTCGTAAAATAATTCATTGTTCAATGATTCTATTAAGACATAACCGGATTAAAGCACGATGTTTAATTATAATATAAAATGAGTTTCAATTTGAATATTAAATGGAAATACTTGCAGAAATTTCGAATATGTTTCGCAGTTGAAATTGGCAGTACTTTCTTTCATTAAAATTCAATGTAGTTTGCATATAACAACGAGTATTGTTTTTTTATTCGTTTTTTATACGTTGCTTCACTGTATCGAATTTAGTTAGCAAATTTTCCAACGCCAATCTGTTTCACGATTAAAAGTAAAACAACTTCAATCGGTGAACTCAATTATCGACGAGTGAAACATTAATCGTTTTGTTGTTTTGAAAAAATGATTTCCATCGTAAGGAAAAGCCCTTTATTCACGGAAATCAAAAATGTACCTATATGTATAGAACGCGAGTGGCACAGCGTATTTCCGGGTGATCCGGGGTAAAATACGGGAAAAAGTGTGTGTGCTGTGCGAGAGGAAACGACGGAAAATGTTCAGCGTGGGAAATTCGTTCGCGATGGCGAACCGGACGCTACACATGCGAGTGAAGCTTTTCATGGTCAGCGCCGGCCTTCAAATCGTCCTATTGCTCACCGTCCTACCTCGAGGTAAGTCGATTTCCACGATTTTTCATCTACCCCGTTCGACTTTCCCCGTCCGAGAAAGGAAATTGTGAAACTAGTACATTTCCCGCACCGAGGAATCTAATTATTTTTATCTTGCATAGTACGATTCTCGGCTAACAGTAACGGTAGGAGTCAAAGTCAAATATTTGAAGGATCCTCTACCACGATTTTCCCAGTGATTCTTTCAAAAGTGCGAAATCGCATATTCCTTCGTATTTTTCTTCCCCCTTTAAATTCTCGAATTACCCGCGACGCAATCTATCTCCGGTTATATTTTATTCCTCGTACCCCTTTATCGGCGCGCAAAAAATTTATTTCCCCACCGATGAAGCAAAAAAAAAAAAAAGGAGATCGTAAATAAAACGAGCCATCGTTCGACGTTTGGAAACTTGGGGAAAAAGGGAAAAGAAAAATGGAAAAATACGGCGGCTGTCCGGGTCAATTTTGGAAAAAGAATCGAGGGCAGGTTTTCGCGGAGGCTTGAAAATAACTCACGATGCGATCCCGGCGGTCGGATACTGAATTCTTAGCCCCACGAGAGGCCGTAGCCACGCGAGGGGGATGTTTCAGCCCCGCGATAAATCGAATGACTTATCGCGTATCGGCGAAACTGTAATCTACTCGATCGGAACCGAAAGAGACGCTTCGAAAATACATTTTTCATCGACGCTGCGAGCACCCATTGTTGTATTTTTAACGCTCCTCCAGCCCCTGACACTCCGGGTCCGCCGTAAAACCGAGCGCGTGAAACATTTTTATATGGCCAGATCAAGTACCCACTAAACTTGTTTATTAATCTAACGTCAAACTGGCTCGCATATCGAACCGCGCAGTTTCGTCAGAAGCAGAAGGAAAAGGAACGAGAAATATTTCAATTATTTTAACAAACTGGTTTTCACTCGTCTCGGCATAAAAGGCGAAAAGAATAGAAATGATACGGCGGTGAGGAGTCGATACGAAACGCGAGACTGTAACGAAGCAAAGTGAGACTGATTTCATTACGCTGACAATCCAGTGTAGTGTCATCCGGTTAACTATAATCATGATTGACGAGGCAACGTATTGTACGATACGTATGCAACGTGGAGGACGTTTCACGCCACTTCCGGTTGCAGTGGTCGAGGAACGCCGTGTCCGCGATGAGATTTTCAATAATATATTTCATATTCAATGTCTAAAATAATATCGAAATTGTGAATCTTGGTTTTATCGCCAGACCGACTCTGAATTAGATTAAAAGGAAGAGCTGTTGCGATTTATAATGAATTTTTTTAAATTGGAGTCGTAATTTTTCCTACGTTCGTCATACGGAAGAAACATAGGATGGACAGGGAATATTTAATGTAATTTGCATTTAATGATTTCTAGGGAGTAAGTTCGTGACGGGGATGAAACCGTACAGATGTCAAACAATTTCGAGATTTAATTCCATCGAGTTTTGTGTAAACAAACAAGGGTGTAGAGAGAGAGAGAGAGAGAGAGAGAGACAGAGACAGAGAGACAGAAAGAGGGGACAGAGAAAGGGTGGGAGGGAATCGTGCAGGTCCATTACAAACATCCGAGTGTACAAAATGGTCGGTACACAGAAACAGAATGCAAATTATTATGAGCACGGTGATCGATTAAATCGAATCGTAACCTGGTATCGTCGTCCCGTGCACACAGCTTTTGCGAAATTAATTTCACAATACCGATGGATGGAAACGTATTCCCTTGGCGCTGTGCAAATTAATTTATTTAAAAACAATCCAAAATAATTTTCTGCTACTAAAATTGCATAAGAATCGTCTATCTCTCACCTACAGTTCCGTGTAATTCGCGCATCGTAATTCCCGTCTTTATAATCGTAAGACGAGATGAACTAATACTTTTTTGTATCATCGTTACGCGTATGTAGTTCGGACATTTCCAGTGGCCTACAAAGGTTTAATCCGACAGGAGGAAGAAAGGAAAAACATTTTTCCTCTTGGTGGGAACCTCGCTGGTAATCCTCTCTCTCGAGCACCCCTTTAGGTTAATGCCTGTTCACCCGCTGTCCAAAGGGGTGGGCAGGGGGTGCGTGCACGTCTCTAGGAATCAATATCGACGAGTTATGGACGCGTTTCAACCGCCTCCGCCTCCCTCTCCTCTTCTCATTTTTGCTTAATGCGAATAAAATAATGAAAATTCTGCGATTCCACGAGTGGAACATACAAAATCTCCTGCCCCGTCGTTCGACAGTTTAATATAAACACATTCCTAGCCTGATTAGCAATGTAAGTCGGACGGATCTAGAAGTCAGGATTATTAACTCGGTCCCCAGTCTCCGTTATTCAGCACAGAATGGTATGAATTTCATTCTCCGCGAAAGTTTCCCCTAAACTGGTTCCCATCGGGTGTTGGCGTCCGGATTGAAATGATTAATAATCGCGAATACGGAAATCCCCGCGGGACTCGCGTCTATCCCAACTTTCCCGAATTTCCACCGTCGTCGGGGAAAACTCGTATATAAAGATGGTTTTCAAGGTTCGTTTGCCAATTATTGAAATTATCCCCATTAGGATCGCGCCTACTGGCGTTAACGATGATTTATGCGAATGCGTCTGGTCAGTCTTCCCGGGGGTTGAATCGAGCATAGAATATGACGGACATGGGTGTATCTGTCAGTGTAAAGGACATGTCTGCGGAAAATCATCGTGTTCTCTTAACAAAGAATGATCGTCCTAAGAAAATGCCTATTTCCGAAGAACAATTTCAAACGAGTATACAGTCGTCGTCGTAAATAATGGCTGTTCAACTCCAGGAAACTTTATTTTTCCGGGCGTGAAGTTTGACGAGGACGAAACGCGTTCCGCTGTTGAATTCACGTTAGCATTAGAATTCGAATTTCCTAACTCTTCTCGAAACTGTGTGTTCCGTTTGTAACTTATATCTCCCGGCGGAAATTCATTTTTCACGCACACCGCTCTCACTCTTTCCGAATACATTTCCTCGTTCGGAAAACATACCCCGCCCTATAAATTACTTATACTCGCAATCGTTCAAAGCAAATATAGAGTTCCGTTTGGTTTGTGTGTGCTTCGAGTTTCGATTGCCGGGGTTTAATTATCTACCGACTGCCTAGCCAAATAGTCGTTTTGGTCTCGCTCTGAAAGAGCTATCAGTTCCCATCAAATACGTTGGACGACGTACGAACGGTATTCTGTCCTGTTTCGAGTGTCAAAGGCCGAACCTTGGCCAATTTCATGCAAATTCCGTCGAAGAAGAGGCTCGCGGACACGGCACCGATTTCTGTCTAGAATAAAATTAACGCCTCAGACCTTGTACGAAACATCGTTACATCGCTTGAACTACTCCTTACAAAAATTTCCAATCTCACCGTCGCCTGGATGATCGTTTCAAGACCTCAATAATAAATTGCTCTCGTTTAAATTTATTATCTTCTTTGTTTTCCTTGATCGCACGAGGACTTTTCATAGGAGAAGTCTTTTGTACTTCTCTATAAAATCATATTAAGGAAAGAGAAAAAGCTGCACAAGGACGTTGACGCATCCGGTCGTTATTTAATTAACTCAACTATGTAGTCAGTCTCTTGCTACTCGCTCGCTCACACGGGCTGTCGGTACGCGGTAATTAGAGGGAGGGTAACACAGTCGCCCGTGGGCCTAATTACAAAACTCACTCTCTTATTCCCTTTCCAGCGTACGAACCTAAGCTCCAAACGCGCCGGACTCTAGTCCCACGACGAAGAGCTCTCGGCTCTTGTTCATTTTAAAAGTCCCGATCAATCACGATCCATCGATGTCCTATCGATACTTCGGTTCAATCGACAAAGAGGCAGTACATTTTTGTTTTGTATTAAAAATAATTAAACGCGTGCCGTAGATTCATTTCCTGGCAAGTCTTTCACGGTTAACTTTCCGAAGTTTAGAGGGGAAATAAAAACAATAGATAGGGAGGCACGTTTTGAAGACATGACGCTTCGTTAAGCGTCGTAATTAACCCTTGCTCGGTTTTTTATTACCAACGTGCTCCAAGTAATTAGATGGCTGCACAGTCTGATGGCTTAAAGTATCCGGTATTTCAAAACACGCTTCCACTTGTTCCTCCCTGGTAAATATCTAAACAACTTCTCGTTTAAGGATGTATTGGCTATACAGTCAATCCCAAAAGTTTATGCACTTTAGAAACCCATTTTTTAA